TTTTATTGACTTTTTGGGGTACTGCAGTTTTTCGCCGTTTCACGGTCGCACGCAATCTGTAAACTGGGCATGTTGGGTATCGTTTTACTCGTTGTAACCTCATCTTTTATATTTCATTTAAAAAATGGGTAATTTGTTGTGTTTTGGGGCATTTAATTAAATTTGTCACTAAATTTTGGGGTTTAATAAGGAGTTGCGCTAATATTGCGCAACATAAAAATTTTCAACTACCACCATTTTATTCTATAGGGTCTTGGCATTCAGAAAATATATAATGTTGGGGGGTTTTACGTCATTTTCAGGCCTAAAATGTGGAATATAACATGGGTGCAAAAATTGAAAAAAGGGCCTCAGTCATGAAGGGGTTAAATCGATACATCGCTCAGATCACTAACTTCTAATATAACAGAACCCTAAAACATAAATAAATTTCATATTTCAAATTTCATAAATTATCCTATAATTGCATAGAGGAAATGGTGATGGTAGTGCAAAAAAATAGCATAATAGAACGCTCCAAAATGAAAAGTGCGTCCTTTGAAAACTGCTGTGTATACTTCCAAAAAACATCTTCCAGTTTTCCCCAATATGAATGCAAGAAAAGTGAAGAGAAAGTTTGGGATGGAATTTCTCTTGGATCCACTTAAGTATTAGCCTGAATATACCCCCTTCATTACCAGGCCATTTTTCAGTGCTGCAGTGCAACAGTTTGAATGACAATTACCTGTTAATGCAAAACTATACACAAATGGATTTTATATAATTTATTTTTTACTATATAAAGAAAAAGACAAAATGTAAAAAAAAGCCCTGATGTTCTCAGTGCCTATACCGAGGCCATAAATTGCCCCCCGAATTGTTTAGTTTAGGATAACACATACAGAGCAATAGTCAGAATGCAGGGGTCAGAATTGTTTTTATAATGCACAGAACAGCTTGCAGATTTCAATTGTCAGGAGTTAATGCCTCCTTATATAGGTAGTGGATGAAAAAAAAAAAGGTAGGTCCAAAAAAAAAAAACAGGTAGGAGCAATAAAAGATGAGTACGGGAGATTAATCACAAAAGACGAGGTATTAGAGTCATTCTTCTGCTCACTACATACTTAGTGTGTCAGATATCACAGTGGTTGACGGAGAATGGGTTTAACAAAGAGTAAACATTTTTTTAATCTAATTAATCGTCAGGACTTGATAAACTGCACCCCAGGGTACCTAAAGAGCTCAGCACCCCAGGGTACCTAAAGAGCTCAGCAAAGTTATAACAAGACCCTTGTTTCTAATTTTCAAGGACTCCACACTGACTGCAAGGGTACCATATTGACTGGCATAAAGCAACGGTAGTACCTATATTCAAAAAGTCTTTAAAGACACCTACTGGAGAAGTACAGACCGTGGTAATCGGCACTGCCATCGGCAGTGATTTCAGCCAAGAGTGTAGATTTGTTCAAGAAACGTTTGGACAATTTCTTGAGGGACCGTAATATCCAGGGATACCAGTATCCCTAAGAATGAGATGATGAGTGGACCTATATGGGTTGGACTTGATGGACGTATGTCTTTATTCAACCCCAAATACTATGTAACTATGTAACGGTATGTGACAACCGGCATGGATTTATGAAAGACTGTTCTTGTCAGACCAACCTACTAACATTCTATGAGGAGGTGATTTGCAACTTAGATGGAGAGAAGGCAGTGGATATAGTGTACCTGGATTTTGTATTAGCATTTGATATGGTAACACATAAATGCTTTGTACACGAGCTACAATCTATGGGCTTTGATGAAACGGTGTGTACATGGTAATGGTGTTACATGTACACACCAGTAAAAAAACCAAAACATTTTTTTAAAACGTTAGAACAAAAAAAAAATTCAGATTCTGCCTGACAAATTTTTTTATTTTCGGGTTCAGTCTGAAAAAAAAATCAATTTTGGCGCACCTCTAATATAAATCAGAAGTACTGAAATGGGTCTCTACGCTTTGTATGAAAAGTTAGCCCATATCTGCTCAAATTTACAGAACTGAATATTTCTGTGTGATTATGCTGATAAACATTGTTCTATATGTTGCAAAAGTTCATACAACAATACTAAAAATGGAGCAAAGAACCTACAATTCTTCCATTTTTGCTGGAAGCTGAAAATTACAGACATTGTGCTGGTAACTGGAGGTGCATATATCCATTTTGATTAAAAAAAAGGTATGTGCAAACATCTTAAGACTACTACTGCATGGGAAATAATAATAGTTATGTATGCTGACAGGTTCACTTTGAACTGCAGTCCAGAGAACAAAGGTTTCTTATGGCTAAAATGTCGAGGTTACACATAGAATATTTACATATTAATCACTCATATGTGTAAGACTGCAGGCTGGGAACTGCAATTTCAGGTCCAACACAACCAATCAAAATTGATTATTTATAGGCACAAAACAAGTCAAGTGTTTGTGTGATTTTTACCTATTGGCAATATATATAACTTATATACAGTAGTTTGGTCTCATGAAATCCATGTAGAGAATTACCTGTTCTTTCATGCTGGACTGAAGAAAGGCTAGGAGTAGAGCAACACTGGGGTGGCGGCAGCTCTGAATTCACCAGTGTAGAAGTAAGGAGGTCAATGTTTCCTGTTTGCAGACGAAATTTTTCCAACTCCTGAGACAACAGACTGAACTGCTCTGTCTGACTACGACATTTGTCTTCTAAAACTTTCACTTTAGCCTTTAAAAAAAAGAACACTTGGAGATAAGAGAATATTCAAATTTAAATAAGGACATACAGCAAAAAAGCAAAGAAACAGTGTGTAAAGCAGATTACCTGCATAACCAAATACAATGAAAGCGAAGAGTGTACAGTGATTAACTTGAGGTTATGTTTCAGCTTCTATTATTAATAAACATTCTCCCAAATAATTGCAGGTAGAAAGTACATTCATTTGCTGGACTGCTAAAGCAATACAATAACTTGGCCTTAAAGGGAACCGGTGAGACGAGAAATATGCAAGCTGCCATTGCTGACTAAAGTTATACACTCTTGGGGTACCATGCTGAACCTGACTTCATTACATAGTGAGCCACTGACCTGGAACAAGTATATAAAATATGTGAGAGTGAAGTCAGCGTACAAACCAAGGATGACCAAAAGAATATACACAAGATAGTTCTCAAGCAAAGCCACGATTAAAACCAAAAACCTAGGCTTTATTGCTTTCATTATGATTTTGTTTTGCTTGTTAATCTTTTTGCACTTGTGAGGAGACAACCCACCTCCTCAAAACCCTTCAATGCACAAGGGCCTTCTGTGCCTCAACATGAAGAACATGTTTTAGAATACAGTTTAGGTATTTCATACCTTAACAGGATGCAGTCTGCATGCTCTGGTGGTGAAGAAAGTTATCATGTTTAAGATGAAACACATATTTCCTTCTCTAACACTAGTCAGGAAAAGACAGAAAGTAGGGAAATAAATGCAAAATTAAGGCTGGAAAAATGGGCCGTCAATATTTTTTTTGAATGATCAGGAGTTGTGCGTAATAAGAGCTCAGAGACTATTATGGGTGAACTTGACCAAATATGGTCTTGCCACAAGGGAGATCTGCACCTCAAGGCAGATACATCTTCTGCTATCCCGACAAGTGATCTAATATAAAGAGATGCATAGATGCAAATCACAGTCTGGTAGTCAGGTGTGAGAAAAATCAATGTATAATTGAGGAACCAGCCAGAGAACTAAGGGACCAGAAGACATGAGATTACATTGATAACAGGAAAGGATGAAAAAAGTCATCTTTGACTATTCAGGCTACCTACCGCAAGAGCTATCACTGCTGATACTACAAAAATTCTAAAAGAACCTGAGTGGTAGAACAGGGAATTTTGTCTTGCTTGTAAAATTTGTTTCTTGGGGTACATCACAGGACACAGGGAGTTAAATCTGTAATGGATGGGTTAATGCAGCTAACCAGGTAATTAGACACCGGCAAATCAAAGCCAGTGTAATTCCTCCCACTTCCAGCCTGCCAGTTTAGCAACAGGCAGTACAAGAGTGGATCAGAGGCTGCAGCAGTTCGACCAAGTCCGCGTGCCACGGTCTCCTTGGCCAGATGGGAGAAATTAGGATCACCATAATGTCCTCTATCTCCATCTTGCGATAGAGGAGAGGAAAGATTATTTTGGAAGACGTAGATCAGGCTGCACTGATCCCATGGAGTCACCAAGGCATCCATTGTGAAGGCCTGTGGATTCCTGGTCCTGGTCACAAATCTGTCCATTTTGTTGTTGAACCTGGATATCAGGAGGTTGATATTCAGCATCCCCCGCCTGAGCCAAAAGTCCCAAAACATTTCCAGGTAAAGGCACAATTCTCTGTGGTCCACATTTTGACAACTGAAAAGTCAGCCTGCCAATTTTACACACTTCAGTTGTACACGATGGACTGGGCCAGGATGTGAAGGCTACCTGATTGTTGATGTTAGAAACTGTTGGGGTCCAGTAGCTGTAGTTGATGGGTCCAGCATTGGCGGGACCCAATGCTGAGGACAAAACAGATCCGGATAGCTGCTGTTAGGTGCTGCAGTGGTTGTGACTGGGAGTGAGAGGGGTATACAGGGTCTAATAGCTGTGAGGTGTCCAAGCACCTCAAGGAAGTTGTATATCCCATTCATTACAGAAGTAACTCTGGAAAGAGAGCCTGTGGACACAGTTATACCTGTGATGAGCGCTAGTCTTAGGCAGTAGTGACGTGAATTTCGGTTACACAAGTATGACTCATCTACAAAGGTTTACCGTTCAAAGAGAGTCTGTCACTTTGTCCATTCAAGCTCTCTTTAGCAACAACCCCCCTCCCACTCATACTAACTTTTCGAAGGCTCCCCTGCTCACTCCATTTCTCCACTGGAGCCAGGGGTCCAAACCTTCTGTAAGCTTTCACAAGGCTAAGAACTTCTTCCCCTCCCTCACATGACCGTGTTTGAGCTTGGCAATTGGCTGCTCAGGTCAGAGTACTGCATCCTGGGAGAAAATTACATGCTCTCCCCTACCCGGAAGAACTGAGTATTCCCAAAGGCTCTAAAAAGGAGCAATGGAGTTGAAGTGGCAAAAGTATTGGGGGGTATAGAGGGCAAATCAAAAGTAAAAACTATAAAAATCTTTTGAAGATGTGTTCAAAAGCACAGAATACAGAGGACATATTCCTTTCACTCCAACGTCAAAATAAGAACTAAATACTGTATATTGATGGCTTAAAATACATACCTGCAAAGTGTCCAGAGTACTCTGTATAAAAATGTAAGAAAAAACAAGTCAATATTAGTTGGTGTATCATATTTAAGCAGATCACCCAGACAGATATTATATTACATACATAGATATATTATAGACATTTTTTCTTTTTTATACACAAACACAGGTTTTTTTAACCATTGTACCTCTAAAAGATGGACTGCTCCTTCATGTTCTTTCTTGGCTTCAACCTGAGCCTGATAAATAAATAAATAAAAGGTAGTTTATTTACGTGGGCCCAGTATCATGAAGATTTTTTTTAGAACCGTGTAGTCTTTAAAATAACTTATGGCATTTATGAAGGCTGTTTATGGATACTTAAAAAAAAATGTTGGGATCCAGGCAAGTTTGGTTCAGGCTAGCACATTGGGTGAGCTGGAGACTTTCATATTCAAGCTCTTTAGCCATAAAGAGACACACTAGGGACGGAACATTGAATGCCAAACACACTCTGCATACTAATACTGAAGAAACCATCTGAGGTTACAGTCTTACAGAATATAATTTGTTAGCTGGGCACATTTGGTTTAGTTTACATTGAAACAATAGGATTAGGACAGAGGGTAAAGGGGAATTCCTCAATGTAGCTTTAGATACAGAAAGTAATAAACTGACAGAGGTTCTAAAATTTTCCTTCTGTATCCAATAAGAAAAAAAAAAAAGTTTGTTTTTCTTTAACCTTTCAGCATATCATATGCTCAAAGTGAATCATCAGTCCCTAATGTAAATGATCTGAAAGCAACTTTTGTCCTTCTATTTGTTCAAAAGTCTGTCAAAAATTCAAACGCTTTTCAGGGGTTTTCACATGCCTCCTTCTTTAGCTCAGTGTCCTGTTTATACAAACTTCCCAACTGTCCTTCATTTGGAGAGGCTGTCCCTTATTTGGAACCAAATCCCTCTGCCCCTCTTTTTGGTCCGATGCACAGATATCTCTGAAGGTTGCATTTAACTACCAAAAGTGTTATTCAGCACTAAAACCTTATGTTATCTCTCATTGATCGTGTTTACCATTTCAAAAAGTCAGTATAAAGGAACAGTAATGGTGGAAAAAAAACAATTCTGGGTTTAACCAATCATTATTGGCATATAAATGATTAATGGTCCGCATAACTGGGGGCGTAGCACAGGTGTGTCCATTGCCTCAATAAATTGTGCTGGAAGTGTCCCTGTTTCTCATCTCAGAAAAGTTGGAAGGCATGTTTATACTTCTTTACCTGGACTGCCGAGAATGCCATCAGAAAAGCAGGCTTGTGGTTGCCATACTCTGTGCTTACCTGTTGAAGACGTTTTACTTCTTCCTGTCTCTTCTGTAGTGCTAGCGCAGCATCTTCATGATCTTTTTCCAGCTGTTGCCTTCTCTCGGCCACATCTCGCATGTGCTAGAAAATAGAGCAGATTGGTTTTTTTTTCCCAGAAATATTTTAGTCACAATAAAATACCATTTTAAACTCCAGAAACATGCTTATGCATTGATTTGTCCAAGTTATGTATTTTAAAGATGCGATTATAAATCTATAGGCACTTTCCTTTGTGCCCCAGGGTCTTTTAAATCTAATAGGGAACACACCTGAAGGTACACACAAGATAGGTTTTACCAATGTAAAGAGGTCAAGGTCTTCCTTGCAGGATTCAGCTTCAAAGCTGAATGCCAAGTTTTAACCCCACCATATAACCAAATAGTAAAAAAAAAAAAATCTAACCTAATCTAAGCCAGAAAATCTAATCTAAAGGCCCCTTTTACTTGCCTAAATCCATAGTCATGTGATGCACTGGGTCCTGAGTCTTCTATCTTCTTTACTGCAGAGGGGAAGAGTCCTTCTGTGGATGTCCACAACACTGCCTGGGTGACGTGGACACTTACTATTGGCTGTCCAGCGGTGGGGTTCTTTCAGACTCCAGATGATGTCTCCAAGAGGCAATTGGTTTTTGCAGGCACGGACAGCAATGCTGACACCACTGATCATCTCACCCTGAAGTGGCGCTGCAGGAGGACATGGTCCAGTGGACAGAGGCAAGTATATATGAGCTTCAAAAGGTATTTAGGTAGATAGGTTTAAGCTTTACCTGGAGATGGACTTTGAAGTACAGCTATTACAGTAATACGAAGGCTGTTGGCCTTTTAAAAATGCTTATTGTCTTGCCGTGTCTCGCTTCAATACGTCTGAATCACAGACTAGGAACAAGAGTTTGATAAATCCTCATATCTATACCTGTTCTAGGTCAGTGGCTAAAAAATAATGAAGCCAAAACATCCGCAAGGCAACAAGTCAACTGGCATTTTTAGAAGGAACAAGAGCACTTCAATAAATCCTTCCTCAAAAAAAGTAGAAAGACAACCAATTATACAAAAAACTTAAGCGTGGAAGAAAAAAGAAAAATAAAAACCAAAAAATCCTGGCATACCTGATAAAAAGTTAAGAGAAGTAAAAAGAAACAGGGAAGGATGGTCAGAGAGCAAATACAATGATTATAGCAATGGTTGCCCTAAGCATGCGTCTACACAAAATCCTTAGGGGACACGTCCACTTAAATACCCTTTGACATGTATATGCGCTATATAAATCATTCCTGACACATCTGCTTACACAGAACACTGACCGGTATAAACAATATATTGCCAAATGTGGACACCTGACCATCTCACCTACAGTATATGAGTTCTTTGGACATTCCATTCCAAAATCAAGGGCATTACTATGGCATTGGCCCAGTGTTTGTTGGTATAACAGCCTCCACTTTTCTGAAAGAGCTTTCCACAAGACTTTGCAGTGTGTCCATGACTTTTTGAGCCAGTTCAGTCAAAACAGCATTTGTGAGGTCGGGTACCAATGCTGGACAAAAAGATCTGGCTCACAATCAGTAATTAAATTTATCCCCAAGGTAACTCGTCAAACCACGTCTTTTATGGACCTGGCTTTGTGCACAGGGGCACAGTCATGCTGGAACAGAAAAGGGCCTTCCCTAAACTTTTTCCTCAAGTTTAGAATCATAATAAAATCTAAAAGGTCTCTTTACTGCATGTATAATGTTAATAGAACCCTTCACTGGAGATCCATAAACTAAATTTGCAGGATGTCCACATATTTTTGGCCATAAGGTCGCTGTGATGGACACGTGTCCACAAACTGTGGCATATATAGTGTACATTTGAGCTACTTTACAAATTGGTATTTATACTGTTTAACCAATATAGTAATTTTCCAAAATTAGTCTCCTTATATATTTTATTTAATGAATGATGGGAGAGAAACCAAATCTACTCACCTCACAAGTTTTTTTTTTTTTCCTTCCAAACTGCTTTTACTAATTTATTCCAAAAATAATCACAGAAAAAAACTGGCATATACATCAAAAAAATCAATAGTTACACAAACACCACAAACAAACAGGTATAGACATATCAATAACAGATTGTGGTACACGGAGTCGCTACTCAACCCTGACAAGTTCTAATTTTATTGTAAGCACAAGACAGCTGCGAAATAGTGAATGATCCTACTACAGCTCTGGTTAGAAACAACATTTACAGATTGTAAGCTCTCACGAGCAGGGTCCTTCTAACCCTTTTGCATGGCATTGTAATTGTTTAAACCAAATTAACAGCGTTAGTGGGTGAGTCAAATAACCATGTATAAGTGTTGGTGAACTAGAAGTCATAAAATCACCACGTGAATGCAAGTACCGTTAATCAAATGCAAAATAAACGCGGCACTGTACTAATGAATGAACATATATGCGGTTGGAAAGTGACTTATATCAAAGTGATTCTAGATGTTTCAGTGTGTAAAATAAAGTGAATATATCTACACCAATTAAAAAGATTAGACCAATACATCCCCCTAATAGAATGCGTACTCACCGCAAACTTTTGGCTGCAACAGACAGCCCCAAAGTTTTTGTCTGATGGGACACCGTTACTGCGGCGTCTTTCATATCTTGTACTTTACCATCAGTCCTCAGTGTAAAGTATTCCCACAGGCATGCAGAGAGAAAATTATTTAAATCGGGTAATCGTTCCAAAATAGTTTATTTTGTAATTGTAAATGACAATTAATGGTGCTTAAAAAAATTATTATAAACGAATAAAGTCTCTGTGTTGTGCTGCAAAAAAAAATTATATATATAAACAAAAAAAGTCTCTGTAGTATATAGCTCCGCTTTAAAAACAGATAGCTGAGCCTTCCAGTGTTCGGTGGAGTAGTGCTTTACTGGGGTTTGTATTGAGACCAATACATCCCCCTAATAGAATGCGTACTCACCGCAAACTTTTGGCTGCAACAGACAGCCCCAAAGTTTTTGTCTGATGGGACACCGTTACTGCGGCGTCTTTCATATCTTGTACTTTACCATCAGTCCTCAGTGTAAAGTATTCCCACAGGCATGCAGAGAGAAAATTATTTAAATCGGGTAATCGTTCCAAAATAGTTTATTTAAAATTTCTTTTAAAATTGAAAAATCACATTCGGCCAGTCCGAAAGCAAACGTGTTTGGTATGGTAGACCCGCCCCTACGCGTTTCGTCACCACCAACGTCTTCAGGGGAAATGCAGGTTTGTCTTCCCATACCAAATCACAGTTTATATAGCGTACATCAAAGTTTATACAACAATGGGCCACTAGATGTCTCACTAGCTCCATACATTGGAAATGTTTCTGTTACAGCCAAAAGTTTGCCGTGAGTACGCATTCTTTGTAGTATTTAAAGGAAGCACTATTTTGGGTTTAGATCACTGCCACCTGTTTGAGATTTAACTAATTGAACTCTTAGCGCTGCTTATTTTGTTATATCATTGTATTGTAACTGCACTGTCTCCCCATATGTTGTAAAGCGCTGTGCAAGCGGTTGTCGCTATATAAATCCTGTATAATAACACTAAAACGCAAAATAGACCAAAGATTTTAAATATAACAATGCACATGTGGCGCCTCTTTTCTGTTTCTGTACTAACCCTCAGCACTTGCTCTAAGTTCTCCAGTTTGCTGTGCAGTCGATGATTCTCCTTAAGGGCAGAATCTCGTTGTTCAGTCACCTCAGATAAATGTCTCTTCAAGTCAGCATTTTCAGCTTCAACCTACAAAAGCAGATTTACCATCAAGACCAATTGCACACTGAAAAGATGTTATACTAACATATATAGGAAACAATGCCTACCTTGGCTGCCCACTTTACTCTGCTGCAGAGCCTTGAATTTTCTTCCACGAGGCGTTCATTCTCGCTTTGCACTGACTGAAGTTTGATTTCCTGTTCCCATTTAAAGACAGCAAAAATATAGTTGATCAAATAATGCCATTCCACTACTAGCATTCATTTACATTACCTTACATTTATCTTCGACAAATGTGTAGCAAGCCAGGCTTCTCATGGTATAACAACAACTTTTCTTAGTAAAATTTGCAATATTATGGAAGCAAGGAAAATCATGTTAGATTTACTGCAGCTCTTGTACCTCAATGTCTAAGCCCTGCTGGAGAAGAGAGCTTGCGTTGGTGTGAGCACCACAATAGGAAGTACTTTAGGTACAGGAGCTGGCCCTGCAGATGCTGGAGTGTCAGCAAACGTCACTCCAGGTGCAGAGTACAAAGCAACATACACAGGAGGTGCAGGAGTCTGGTCTGCAGATGCTGGAATGCCTGCATGCTTAGATGCCACTTCTGCTGCAATGTACCCTCTGCACTCCTCTCCTGCACATAGTGCCCATCATCGTGTCCTCAGGCACAGTTCTCCTGCACATACTATTCACGGTCATACAACTCAGAAACTCCTGTCCTGCAAATACTTCCTGCTCTCTGCTCTGATACCCTCCATCTGCCTACACTTGCCCATTGCCTGCTGCCATACCCTCTGCACTCCTCTCCTGCACATACTTATGACTAATGTTCTGCACTCCTCTCCTGCACATACTGCCCAATGTCATATCCTCCAACGCTTCTCCTGCACATGCTGTGAATCAAAACACCTTTGTAAGATGGTTTGAAATATCCTCCAACTTGCCTGGTTTGGATTGGCCACACAGTGGTTAATAAGCCTTAAAAAACAACCACCAAAGAAAAACAAAAACACACACTATATGGGGGAAGGCATCTATCTGCCCAGAGAACTTGTCCGAGAGTCAGTGGATCAACTGGTAAATTTGAGATATTCCTGTTTTATGAGTTTCTAATCAGATCCTGGACGCACAGAATTCTATTTTCCCTAAAAGCAGGTAAATGCCCAGTCTGAGTGACACCTCTGAACAGTCAGGACATGCATTTATATACATTTAGAAATGGCATATAAAACATAGAATTAACGCTACTAGTGTGAATAAGGCTTTAGCCAGCATGTTAGACTCAGGTACTTACACTGGTTACATCTAAAAATACATCTAGTTATTTTTAATTTATACATGGCTGTATTCATTTTGTTTTTATATATCTGCCTGGAGTTCAGTGTTAAACAGCTGGGCTCCATTATGTTGCCATTTGTTTGTTAGGATACCATCCCATTTAATAGGAATCAGACTATTAAATTTAGCACAGCTTCCCTCTTGCTTCTATAGCCATGGCTTTTTTTTTTTTTTTTTGTATTTTTTACAATCACACCCCCTTGGTGTGGAGACAAGTTCAGACAGAAAAGTTTCAGGCAGAAAGAGAACAGCTCACCCATTCACCTTAACAGGAGAGGGTGTTATCCTTTCTCTGCTTTGCACATTATTCATGCTGTGCTAGGTTATTGCCACGTGTGGTAGCTTAATGCTTCCCAGAGAGTTACAATACATTTCTGAATTTACAACGCGTGTTTAAATTGCTTATTTCCATTCAATGGAGCTACCTGTGCTTGTCTGGTATATCATCAGATGCCAATTCCCCTATACAACAGGTGGCCTAATATATGAATTATTATATCGTTAACACAACTGTGGATTAAATATAGTAAATCCATTTTGCTGCAAATGATTATCTTAGCCCCAAAAATTGTCTGCCACAATTATTTTAGGAATGTCCCTATGCCAGTTCTGAACTGTATGAATTGGGATTTCGCATCATTCCTCTTTAAAGCAGAAGTAAACAGGAAAAAAATAAACTGCTGCAAAGTTGGGATTCTTGACAGAAGAGACATAAAAGGTTTCTTCTACCAAAAAATCCACCCATGATTTGTTATTTTTCTTCTGTACACTGCACATGCTAGCATTTCTAAGATATGAATAATGGGCCTGATCACATCAACAGTGACCACCCAATTGCCAAAAGAGGACTTTAAAGAACCCAGAAGTGTCAGGAGCAGAGATGGCAGGGGTGGGGGACAGAGCTGAGGACCTAAGATCAATCCTAAAGCGCTGGAGAAGGGCACACTTTTCAGGCAAGTGTGCCTAGTGTGCCTATGCTACTTGCATATTAGTGCAAAAAAAAAAAACTATTCAAAGCGGTTCTCTTCCACTGTAAGAATTCTTTATAGGATAAAGAAAAAAAATGAATGCACACTGTGCTCCAAAGCTTGTCATACAGATATTTGGATCTGGTGATGGGGAATGCCATCAAAGGCATCTGATCTGATCAATGGTGTTCATTTAATTCATATAATATTAATAGCTCTTACATTATTGCTAATTGACCTAATATGCTTAGCCTTTTATGTATTTTAACCAGTTGACATCCGCGGCGTTAAACCCCCTTCCCATCCAGGCCATTTTTCAGTATTCAGCGCTGCGGTACTTTGACTGACATTTATTCTGTCATGCAGCGCTGTACTGAAATGAATTTTATACCCTTTTTTGGGGACAGATAGAGCTTTCTTTTGGTGGTATTTATTCACCACTGGGGTTTTTATTTTTTTACTATATTAAAGAAACAATTACCGAAATTTTTAAAAAAAACAGTTTTCCCTATATTAAATGATAAAACATTTATTATTACCCAATTTTTTGGTAAAATATAAAAGACGGGGTCACGTTGGTAAAAAGACACCAAACATGTCAAGCCTTAAAATTGCGTGCACGCGTGAAACCTCAAAAAACGATAATACCCAAAATTGGCCATAGGCGACGCTTTAAAAGCTGTTACCGCTCATCAGTTTAGTGTTATCAGTGATTGATGGCCCTAAAATGATTGCTCTCACTGCGACGTTCGCGCCAATATGTAACATGTGTAGCGCAATTGTAATTTGCGCCGGTTTGCTGGGGGGCGGACGCGAACGAGCACATATAGACGATCGGCTGGCTATGGAGCTAGGGGGCATGCAAGAGCAGAAAAAAAATGCCGTCTGGCGATGGCAACCCGCCAATGCAGCAGTGCCGTCCATCCGTTTTTTTTCTACGGGCGGACGGCAAGAGGTTAAAGCAAAATGTGATATTTCCATTATTTTGTTCTTCCCCTTAATATTGAATACATTACTGCAAACAAACATGGCATTGACCTAGAAATCTAAATCTGCATGTTAAAGTTTTAATGGCACAAACTATTCTTTCACTTCCACAAGACATCTCTCACACTAGTTAAATATTTGCTTTCAAGTGCATATCGGAGTGACAGTGATACGGATATAAAGATCTGAGCAGAGGGGGAAAAAATGTTTGTAGCACAGAAGATGAATTCTGTCACACAAACATTCTTTATGATAAAAAGCCTACTACAAAAAAAAAATGAGATCACTGCCAAATACAGTCTGCTAATGACCTGTATGTAAACAGAACTTCAACTGTCCTCAAAAACTTTAGACATGCAGTTTCTATTACATTCTCTTAAGGTGCCCATACACTGTGCGAAGGAGCTGGCCGGAAAATTCTCGTACAATAGGAGCCAGCAGCCAAAGAACTGCCTGCTCTCATGAGTTATTTTGACAGCAGCCGCTGGCAAAATACAATGCACACAGCGGGATTCCTCGATTGACACACTCCTAAGTTTTGAGGGAGGAATCTGCTAGGGATGCACCGATACCAGTTCAGATAACAGTGCCGACCCTTGGCATTTTCATGAACTACCGTACGCACATATTACAATACGCCTAGGTGTGAATGGGGCCTAAAAACAGAGATGTACAAATCCCAGGAGCTCCGTATGCTCCTTACAAATGACAGCTGCCTCCTAATTTTTGAATTTTTCTCTAGTCTAGTGTTGGAGCTGGAAAAGTATCTGTACTTGTACCGAGTACTGTACGGTACATGGTATCGGTGCATCCCTATAATCTGCTCTATTTTTCTCGTTCATCCTGTGGGTTGAATGAGAAAAATAGATCAGTGTATAGCCACCTTTAATGAAAATCAAGAGAATGGAATCAATACTCTGTTTGGCATGGCTGGGGCTGGCTAGCAAGTCTCCAAAGCCTAAGTAGCCCAGTCAGTCAGTCAAATGAACACCAGAGAAAAACTGTAGATGAAATCTAATTATTTTAGTCCACATTAGTTTTAGGCACAAATGTTTGGATAGTGAAAGTGGCTCCCCTCCCAAACAGTATTCTATACCTTTGGCCAACAAACTGAATATTAATGAGGATTTGACAACATTTCTAATGTTTTAAAATTAACTCCTTCAGATAACACAAGGTGAAAAAAAGAACAAAAAAAAACACCACTTTAGAAATAGTGGGGTGCCTTAGTCTGGCCATCATCCTCTAAGTACCAGTTTGAGGCAGATTTCACTGACCAGATTTTAGTTTTTAGACACATAGGGGGTGATTTACTAACCTAAACACATGCACGCACCCGGTGCGTGTGATTTTTACACAGCAAAACGTATTTATCAACCAAAAAGTCTCTAAAAGCATATTTCCACTAATGCCATATATGGAAAAATCATGCACATGATGCATATATAATGCTGCTTCACAGTTTAGACAAAAATGGTTAGTTCATGCATTTACATTCCTGCATTCATCAACGCAAGCAACACAATGTAGAGCTAATTTACACAACATCACCTTGCAATTCATGCAGGGCTTTCCACAACACACCTGCTGGGTGTGTACACACTACAAAGGTGTCTAGATTCCACCCATAGATCATGCTGGGAGGGAACACGCTACAGAGGTGTATACTTGTTCGTGGCGTGTTTATAAGGTTAGTAAATCAAACCCATACAGTCCAGGAAGTATACCAAAATTGCTGGTAAAGGTCCCCACACACCTTACGATAATCGCGGGAAATCCCGCGATCGTACGATTATCGTAAGGTGTGTGGAAGCCGTGCGACCTCTACTACTGTAAGGTCGCATGACTTTAAACTTACGGACATGTTCGAAAACCCGCCGAGCATCGTATGATGTTCGGCGGGTTTGTGGCATGTCCGTACAATAAAAGCTGTACGGGCCGGTGTGCGCAAGCGCACACTGCCCGTTCGGCATTGCGGTCATCGGAAGCCCGCCCCTCAAGGGGCGTGGCTTGCGATCATCGCAAGTACGATCTGCCTATGCAAGATAGGTAGATCGTACGTTTCTTTAAGTACCTTACAACCATCGCAAGACAAAAGTCTTGCGATGGTTGTAAGGTGTGTGCCCAGCCTAACAAGGGTGGACAAATCATTTATGCTGATCATGCAGCTGCACAAGGTCTCTTTAGCACTAAGGGGCCCTTTCATATTAGAAATGGGACAGGTGGCTGCTGGGACCCCTCCTACTATCATGCAGACATGGACATGGCTCGCCTATAATATCTAGCAGACAACTGATATGCAGCTCATGTTTGTTTTAACCTCGTCAGTAACCGAATGGGAAGGGGATCCAAAAATTAGTCTTGCAGGATCAGCCGACATGGCACTGGAAGGTGAGATATCAGGTTTAAACCTTTTATTATATAAAAGCATGCATCACAGACTTTGAGGTCTATGCCGAAATTATCTGCCCCTAATCAAATTCACCTTATGTACAGTATGTATCTATGTCCATGGTATAGACAGAAGCAGGTAAACATAATAGCTGTAACCAAGACAACAGATGCAAATCAATGTACAATATATATTTTTTGAATGGCAAGTATATTTTAAATAGAATATTAAATATTTTTACACACAAAGAATCATGACGTTTTCTACATTCCAGCCGTCACAGATATTTATGGGAATACAAAAGGAAACTGGAAAATGTATAAATGTATTTCATTTTAGGATTATATTACGAGCGAGAAATAATCTTGCAGCTGCCCATTTTTCCAAATATGATTTAGTGTAGGTGACAAAAGAGTCAGTATATGCCAGGGTTGTTTTAATTGAACTCTTGCTTCCAATGAAAAAGCACGTTGCGGAAACCTGTCTTTAAAGGGTTGCTTTTGACTGGGATCGTCGTGGACGTAAAAAAACAACTTTTTATGGTCTAACATTTCCTGTTTCCTCAATTTCACTACATCTTTTTGCATATGCTACTTAGGTTTATGTTCCTGTCCTCTGAGCTTCCAGCAAAATGGAATGTGGAAGGAACTCAATCATAATAAGCCATTTCTAGTAGGAGGGACTAAGAGTGCGTTTTTTACCACTCATTGCAGCCAGAGTAAGAAAAGGAACTACAATTTACTAAATGTAAAGTAATGCACTTTGGGGTTAAAAATAGACAAGCGGATTACACATTAATGGGAACTCCACTAGGGAAGTCACAAATGGAAAAATATTTGGGGGTCATGGTAGACCACAGGTTGATTAATAGATTGCAATGCCAGGCTGCGGTAAACAAAGCCAGCAGAGTACTGTCATGTATTAAAAATGGAATGTACTGCAGAGACAAGGCTATAATTTTGTCACTTTATAGATCGCTGGTTCGGCCTCATCTGGAGTATGCGGTCCAGTTTTGGTCACCAATCCACAGAAAGGATGTCCTTGAACTGGAAAGAGTCCAGAAGAGGGCAACCAAATTAATTAAGGGGATGGAGGACCAAAGCAATAAGACAAGATTACGAAATGTAAACATGTTCACGCTAGAGGTGAGGAGATTAAAGGGGAGATATGATTTTCTTGTACAAGAGGTTCAATGGAAATAGCAACCTCAGAAATAAACTCTTTACGGTAACCTCCATAACAAAGGACTAGAGGCCACCACCTAAAACTGGTGGAGAAAAAATTTAAGCACAAGGGGCATAGGGGCTTCTTCTTAGTTAGAGTGGTTAGGGTCTGGAACTCGCTGCCACTAGCAGTGATCTCAGCTATGACTGTTGAATCATTAAAAAAGCATTTGGACGATTTCCTCAGGGTCCGCAACATACAGGGGTACTGGTACACTAAGAAGATGACACATGGACTCATCCACACTCGTACACATGTAGATTCACATGCATACACGCTATAGGTTGGACTTGAAGGACCTGTGTCTTTTTTCAACCTCAAATACTATGTAACTATGCAGTTAAGCTTGCAAAGCCTACAGCTGAACTAGAGAGGAATTTTCTCAAAACTGTTTAATTATGGATATATAAAAGCACAAGCTGGTATAAATGCAGTAAAAAAATTAAGGGAGTAAGGGAGGGTTATAACATCTGCCTTTTTTTGTCATCTCTGTCCCATTGGGGAGATTCTCCTTCACTTTTTTTTTTTTCACTTTAAAAACATTTCAGTGAGAACAGTCACCAGGACAAATAGAGGGCGAATCACCCTAAGGGGGATAAAAACAGCAATAAAACCCTGTCAGGGGTTATAGTCCCTCTCCACTAGATCCTAGACAAAAAAAAAAAAAGTGTTTTGGCATCAGTTGCAGTTGCACTTTAAAACCATTAGAAAATGAAAAGCTACAGAAAGAAAATTTTAGGTGTCCAGACTCTTCTCTACAGATCACAGGTGGCCCTGGGATGGTGTACTTGGGTACTTGAAATGCCCCATATCTATCTGCTCCAGACTCTGCTTAAAGTGACATTAAATCCAAAATGTTTCCCCTCCCCCCATGTAAATGTTAGCACTTACCTCAAATGATGTCTCTTATTCTGATCTTCCTCTTCTTTCCCCATGTTTTCATGTGTCCCTCCAGTGGTGCGACGTCACTCCGATCCAGCGCTGACTGCTCTGTCTCTCCGATCCAGCGGTGTCTGCAGGCGGGTGCACGCGTCCATAGACTTACCTTGCGTCTCTGCTAGTCTCCCGGCCGAGAATCGGAACTGCGCATGCGCCCGCCCCAAGTTCCTTTGCGGCCGTACGATCACTTCCTGATTCTCGGCGCGAGCAGCGATAACGAGGTAAGTTTAAAACCAGTTCAAGCGTTTGTTTTTTAAACTTCTTGCCTATATCTACTGCTTGCTAGCAGTAGATATAGGCAAAAAAAAACGGAGGGTTTAGAACCCCTTTAAAAGGAGAACTATGAGATGAGTGATTTTCACTCACCTCATAGTTCTAGCCGACCTGTGACAATGAGACTGTCACAGGTCGGCTCAGTAGATCGGGAGGTGAGCGAACACATACCAGCGCTCGCTCACATCTCGATCCTGTCACGGCTCTCTGCCGTGACAGGGGAGGGGCTGGATTCCCCCCTCCGATCCACCAGCGCTGACAGGCGGAACGGACGCGGGAGTCGGCGGGTACAGCTGGCTCTGGCTTTAGATAGGCAGAACCAGCTTTGTCACACAGCTGGGCGGATCCCTGCACAATTGTCGGGATCCGATTCAGCTGCAGCGTCTCAGTATACCGCGAGCAGCTGCTCGCGATATACTGCGACGTCTCAGTATACAGTAGGACGCTAGTTTGTGTCCTCCCGTTACCCTAAGGAGAACTATGGGGAAAAAGACTTAATCCCATAGTTCTCCTTTAATGCAACTGAAATGGAGTGGTCTGTGGCAAATATAGAGCTCAATTCATTGTACCAAGCACCCAGTTATTATGGGTGTTTCATTGTACCAAGCACCCAGCTCAATTCATTGTACCAAGCACCCAGTTATAGCCAAACCTTTTTTTGGTTTCAGTTCTCTTTTAGGTAACAGGAGTACATTTACTGTGACCCAAACTCAGCATAAAGCGGGCTACTGGCCGCAATATGCTACTAGTGCATAATTCTTCTTTTGAGTGCACTATCAAGACACTTCTGCATTACCTGCAGCAAAAGCAGCCTGAAGCAAGTGCATCCAGCCTCATTTTTAGGAAATGCATGTATACATGTGCAATATCTTCCTTTTTATACTTTGTACTTGCCACAGTTTAATTATTACTCATATACCTACCTAAATGGCAAGCATATTAACGAGAGAAAATGGGTCAAGTATAAAAAACATTCCTAACTACCTGCATTTAATTCCACAATGGTCGGTTGTAAAGTTGGGCATCTAGAGCCATTCAAACCTGCCTGAACCCTGTGCCATAGTAGCCAGCTCTTCACTGGTTACAGAAAATGAATATATAAGAACATCTTAGAAGCCGAGCGAAGCTGATTTTCTTACCAATTCTTCACATCTCTTCTGCTTCTTCTTTACCTCTTGTTCCAAGATTTCACATTCTTTCCGCTTTCTTCTTAGTTCAACTTCCTTAAAAAAACAAAACAAAATGCAGACATAAATATAGTGGGAATGTATACACACATAACGTAGCCTGACCAACCTTAAAACTAATGTTTTTTTTCTTACAGAAACTAAAGATGAGAATACAAAGTTGTCCCTATGTAGACAAAATTGCTGGCATTGATAACATTATGCCATATAAGCTTTCAGGTACCAAGCAACTACATGCATATAACGGTGACCTTACTACCTACAAGGATCACCTTTGCTTCCCTTGACCTCCACTGTGGCCAATCTCTATTAGTAACTTTCCAGATGTTCTCAGGCTTTGTCTAGCTCTAAAAAGGTGCCCATACACCTATTGGTTTTTGTTTGATGATCATTGGAAAGACCATTCGTGGACAATTTCCGATCAGTTGATGGGACACCAACGATTTTAATTATTGTACTCCTGGCCGAATTTCCTCGATCTGTTAGGCTGGAAAAAATTTTTCGCATCGTATGAAAATCGACGGTTTAGTGGCATTTTCATACAACAAATTCTCTACAATTGTCTGGGGAGTAACAAAAGCCAAGCGCTATTTAGAAACATGCTGGTTAAAGGGGATTAAAAATTAAAGTAAAAGTGTGCAACGCAAAAAAGCATTACAACCTAAAATCTGGTAAAGGCCTTCCCTTTCTCCATTTTATTCAGTGATGTGGTAATCTCTCCCAAATGTTGTTAGTCAGACTCGTCATTGTGGTCACTACAAAAACAACAAACATATAGTGGAACCCCAACACAAACTTTGAACAAGAATGATACAGAAAATCTCATGTACAGAAACCAACAATATGGAATACTCCCCTTTTACATTAACAGACATGCCTCTGTTAATGTAAAAGGTAATGTAATAGTATGATGCTTTCATACTATTTGGCAAAAAAATTGTTAAAATTTGCCAGCAGATTCAGAAGAGCTGTGGTATTATCTCATCAATACTTACAAACCACAAGGAAACTCGAGGGAAACTTTAGCAGCAAAAAAAATCAATTAAACTCATTACTAATTTAAACTTTGGGTATGTTATTTAGCTTGTGACCCAGTCATATGATGAGTGGTTAATGTTTTCCTTTATATTTCTATCGTGTTTAACGCTGAAACAAATGTGAAGCAATAGCGGGCATTCTCATATCAGTGTTGTACACAAGACACCCAGTGGAAGAAGACTGACTATTTTCTATGGCATATATTTGTATTTCTTATATAATGTTTGTGTTTTGGGCAACTACAAAAGCTAATCCTCCGGCGCTAACAGCAAACAACTATGCACTCTGGAATGGACTGGCCACAGGGTGCTGCTCCTCCTCAGAACAGAAAGCTCTCGTCCATACAAGAGTTTTTATATTGGATTAGTAGTGATCATAGGGACCTGGGACCCATTCATTATATGATGTGTTATATATAACCATGTTGCTAATCCAAGTTATAATTATGTGATGCATAATGTAGCGTCAGAGAATATGCCGTCTAAATGGCTGTATGCACCGAACCTTAGTTGATCTGAGTCCGCTATAGTGAGAGGGGGTGGGTCGCTGTGATCAAGTTTTCTGGTCACCGATTGGTCCCACTCCATCCAATAGCAGCCTTGGCTGTTAGTAGTTTGATTGGTTGCCTCTCAGTGTTATTCGTCCAACTAGCTCTGAGCATTCAGGTTCTGATGAAGGGGGCGTGTCCCAGGAAACACGTCAACCACTACACCACAGCCTCTGCCGAAGTCTGTGTACTCCGGAACTGCAGCATCGTTGAACTGACAGCCTTTCATTCCTGGAGTCTGTTGATAAGCTTGTATGCTGCTACGCTTGCGAGTAGCTTACATTGTTTTTAATAATTTTATATTAATAAAATCAGTACTGCACAGGGTTAGGCGCTCTGTTCTGTGTTTTCCTTGCAACTACAAAAACTAGCCTCATCATGCAAGGCAAATTCATTGTGTACCTTTGTATAAGTTACTTAGTCAGGTTTAAAAAAAAAACCCTCCAGAAACAGGACGCTATGCCCACAGTTACCCAAAGTTGATCCAGAGGAAAGCAAGAATAAACCCTATAAAAAACATGATTCAATTTGCTCCTACAGTGGGAAAAAAAAAAATCTTTCCTGATCCCATAGGGCAAATCAGATATTCCCTGGATCAACCTCTGGTTTGTTTTTTTTGTACTTGTAAAATGTTAATATCTAGATATATTCCGTACATTTAGGAATGCATCCAGATTGTCTTTTGAAAACAGGTAACTGAGCTAGTTAGAACAAGTTCCTGAGGAAGCCTTTTTCATATAGTTCTTACGGTGAAGAAGCTTTTCTGCATGCAAAGGTTAAACCTCTTTCAGAAGCAAAGAGTGCCCCCTTGTCCTTTGCAGTGACCTTAAAGTGAATAATTTGGCAACAAGCTCACTGCATGGATCATTTATGCATTTATACATAGTGATCATGTCCCCCTTAATCGCCTCTTCTCCAGAGAGAACAAATTAAGTTCAGCTAATTTTTCCTCATAGTTGAGCTCTTCCATGCCTCTTTGAGTTTAGTTGCCGTTCTGTGCATTCTCTACAGTTCTCCAACATCCTTTTTTTGAACAGGTGCCCAAAACTGAACTGCATATTCCAGATGAGGTCTTACTAATGCTTTGTACTGGGGCAGGAATAAGTCTCTCTCTCTGCAGTATATACCCCTTTTAATCCAAGAAAGTATTTTGCTCGCTTTAGAAACTTCAGCTTATTTTCTAGCAAAAACATGTGTATGTGATCTTTCATCAAACTTTTAAGCAACTTCCCAACTATGGAATTTAAGCTTACAGGCCTGTAATTACTTGGTAAATACTTAAATATAGGTACCACATTGGCCTTGCGCCAATCTGTTGGTACCAAGCCAGTCATTAAAGAGTCTCTAAAATCAGATACAATGGCTCCGAAATAATAGAGCTCAGTTCTTTGAGAATGCGTGGGTGCAAGTCATCTGCTCCACGTGCTTTGTTCACTTTAATTTTTCTTGATGAAAATAGCATCTATACACATCTAAAGAACCGCAATAATGAAGAAAGATGCAAACCAGACATCTTACATGATGTCAGGTATGATGAAAAATGTAGGTTTTTGTGCCACACAATCTTGAAGGAATAGATAACTACATTTTTTCAAAGAGACCCTGTCACCAACTCAAAGAATGCAAGTAAAAGTAGAGAATAATCAAATATTTCAATTGCTTACTTGCCAGGTTTTTCCTTTCTATAATTATATGTATTCCCTTGTCCTGTGCTTTTGATTTTTTTTAAAATTCCTTATTTAAAAGTACACGTAACTAAAGCAACACAAACAGAAGAATATACAGAAGAATAAAGCAATCCAAAGAATGTCTGTGCGACAATACAATGAAATACAAGCTGTATATCCTTCTGGGTTGAGTCAAGTATTTATTATTATAATAAATAAAATGTCAACACCATTGACTGAAAAGACTCTAAAAAAAAAAAAACATCTCAAAAGAGAAAACTCAAACTGGTGCCAATAAAAAAAAGGTAAGCCCAATGTGGGGTAAGAGGGTTTTGGGCATTTAGTTACTTGGGAAGACTGGAAGAAGTCTTAAACCCTGTGCACAATTTGCAAATGACCATTTACCTAAAATATCAATACCATAGGCGGAATCTAAGAATCATGCCTTACCGATAACCTACATCATTGGTAAGGCATGGACTCCAGTGAGAGACCAGGACAAAATGGGAGAACCCTGTCCCAGATAGCATTCTCAAAACAACCTGTTTAAAATAGTAAGGTTTACTAAGGTCATATCAGAAGCCCACACGTTGCCACCCCCAATGTCCCATAGCAACAGACTGCAGCTCTAAAAACTGCAATCAAAAAACACAATACAAACATGTAATCTTTCCAGACAAGTATTGCAAATAATAGAGAGTGAACATATATTTCTGTTTTTGCTAGTTTGACCATGTTATAGATTTGGAGGTCACTAATATGTCCTATGGTCATCATCAGATGGGATAGATAGTGGGAACCCTGTTCTCTGTTGTATAGTTGGTTGTTTAAGAAGTCATCAAGGAAATATGGGAGTAATAGAGAAGTGTTACCTTCCGGGACAGTATTAATGCATGCTAGAGGTCTAATGGTCTGGTAAGATGCTGTGCGATATTTCCCCTTCACCTACCATCACCAGTCTTTTAAAAAGACTGCAGGACCCATCATAAACACACAGGCTCGGGGCCTATTGGATATTTCAAATTGCAACTTGAAAGGTCGGAGGCTAGCAGTAAACTTATTGTTGGTGTCTGTTACAAACCTCCAGATATATAGGGGTGGGAGGAGGCTCAGCTACACTGCCAGATAGAAACAGCGGGGAAGTAGGGTAATGTCATCATTATGGGTGACTTCAATTATCCAGACATAAACTGGGCAAGCAGAACATCCCATTCGTCAAAGGCAGCCCGTTTTCTGAACATGTTGCGAGACAACTTAATGGATCAGATGGTGGAGGTCCCAACTAGGAAAAATGCAATCCTGGGCTTAATCATTTCTAATAATGGGGAGTTAATTGAGGATATTGAAATTGGTGAGACACTGGGTAACAGTGATCACCATGTGATCACCTTCAATATTATCTTATATAGAAATAGGAAGACGGCTGGTCGGACAAAAACCCTAAACTTCAGGAAGGCTAACTTTGATAAGCTGCGCCAGCTCATGGATGAAATCGAATGGGAAAATGTATCACAAACTGAGCACTGACCAGAAGTGGGAATGTTTTAAGAACACATTACATAAGTCTATTACCAAGTGCATACCTTTGGGGAACAAAATTAAAAGATCAAAAACTAAGCCGGTATGGATAAATAGATCGGTAAAGCAACTCATCAAGGACAAGAGAGTGGCATTTATAAAATAGAAGATGGAAGGGACGTCATTGGCGTTCGCTAAATACAAAGAATGTAACAAAAGATGCAAGAAAATAATTCGGGAAGCTAAAATAGATTGTGAAAAACATA